TCAAGTTCCCACTGCAGCCCCAGCGGACTCCCCAGAACAGCACTTTACAGGGTTGCACACGTCCCTCTGCGATGCCATCTCGGGCTCCGTGGCCCATTCTCCACCAGAGAAACTGCGGGAGTGGCTTGAGACAACTGGGCCATGGGGCCAGGCTCCCTGGCAGGAGTGCCAGGGTGTTCAGGGGCTACTAGGCAAACTGCTGTCTCAGCTGCAGAAGTTTGTGTGCACACAGCGGTGTCCCTTCCCCCATGTAGTACGGGCTGGTGCCATCTTTGTACCCATCCATCTGGTGAAGGAGCGTCTCTTTCCAAAGCTGCCACCAGCCTCTGTGGACCACGTGCTGCAGGACCACCGTGTGGAACTACGGCCCACCACTCTGTCAGAGGAGCGTGCGCTGCGGGAACGTGCCCTACACGGCTGCACCTCCCGCATGTTGAAGCTGCTGGCACTGCGCCAGCTGCCTGATATCTACCCTGACCTGCTAGGCCTACAATGGCACGACTGTGTCCGCCGCCAGCTGGGTGAGCATAGGGCAGCCCTGTAGCCACTGGAGCTGTGTGAACGTGCGGCAGGTGTGTGGGCTGCTTGTGTGGACGGTGGGCAGAGGGGTTGAGTGGTTCTAGGAATTTTGATGGGGCACCGGGTGGGATTCCAGGGATTTCCCTTGCCCTTTTGAGATCTGTTTGCATGCAAATAAATGTTCTTGGCTCCCCTCCTGGATGGGCCTCTGTCTTAGGGTTTCATTGCTGTGAAGAGAAGACCAAGACCAAGGCAGCTCTTAGAAAGAGAAACTTTTAATTGGGGCTGACTTCAGTTTCAGAGGTTTTAGTCCATTATCCTGGCAGGAAGGAAGCATGGCAGTGTCCAGGCAGACATGGTCTACATCTTGATCTGCAGGCAGCAGAAGGGGACTGTGTGCCCCACTGGGTGTAGCTTGAGCATAGGAGACCTCAAAGGCCCACCCACACAGTGACATACTTCTCCAAGGCCACACCTTCTAATAGTGCTCCGTCCTGTGGGCCATTCCTATTGAAACCACCATAGCCGCTTTCTCTATGTATACCTTCTGTGTCTTGTATATGCTGCTTCTGGGCCTTTGGCTAGGCTGTTTTCTGTCTGAAGATTCCGATGTCTTCCATCCGAGCTTTAACCCTAAGTGGTGACTGTATGCTGCCTCTTGGCACCTGGGCCTCCACTATGCTCATCCCGAGGCACAGGCCTCGGCTCTGGTTTGTTAATTCACTGCAGTCTTCCCAGCCCTGGTGAGGAAGTCGTCCTTGCTCACTTCCTGTGCCAGGATCTGCCAGAACCTCATGGTTCTTCCCACATGAGCACTTAGCTTGGAATGTATGTTTTCTCTGGTCTCCTGGCACTGCGTGCATACCCATGATGCCCGGGATCAGAGAACTGTTGGGTTCGCTTTCCTCCCAGTGGTGCATTGCCTTGTTTCTTCAATCGCACTCTCATTTTGAAAGTGTCTCTTATATACCGCAGAGTATCTTCAAACTCACGGTGACCCCGCCTCCCTAGGACCTGACGATGGTCATGTGTCCCACGCTCAGCTTTGGAGCCTGCTCTTTTTTTTTTTTTTTTTTTTTTTAAAGTAAGTGTTCTAGAGGACACACACATGTCTCAGTGTTGTATGGTGGGGACTTGCAGCCATGACAAGGTGAGGGGTGTAGCCTTTTCTGTGTTAGGAAACTGACTTCTGGATTCCTGGCCCTTTCTGGAGTCTTCCTTGCCTGCTGTCACATGCGTGCCACCAGCCCCTTGCCTGGCCAATTTCTGAGCAATGTATTCTACTTCCTTAACTAGCTGAGAACTCTGCTGTAGACAGCCTGGGTCAGGGTGGAGGGGGCCTGAGGCACAGTACTACCATGGAACAGGCCCTAGCTGGCCCACATTCTTGAGTTTTGCTGTGTCTAGGGATAGAGGGTCATGTCCCTCTTCCTGGTCTTGCCTGCTCATTAGAAGTCTGACCCTGGCAGTGATTAGGTTGAAGACCCTTGCTGTCTATCCCCTCCCTGAGCTATGGGGCCTCTAGAAGAGCGTCTCGGCCTGTGGGTCGTGACCACCTTTGAGGAGCAGATGACCCTTTCACAGGGTCGCATGTGAGGTTTGTTCCTGTCTAGGTTCCCGTGATCTCCTGGCTTCCGTCTACACTGGTCTCACAGCAGCTTGGCTCCTGCCCTGGGGATTTTGTGGCAGAAAGATAATGGCTCTTTTTGTATGGCAGAGCACTCTCTTTCCCCTCTTCAGTTTACTCAGCTATGTGGTGAGATGACCCAGCCGGTGTTTCCCGTCTTGCAAGCCTCCCTTTCTTTCCTTACTTCCAAGCAGCCTCTTCTGAGCTGCGTCCTCGACAGATAGAGCTCTGGTGTCCCTTGGGTAGGAGCGTGTCTTTAGCAAGCTCCCATTGGTCTGATCTGTGGGCTGTCTGTGATGCTGTGACACTGCCGGCATGCAGGACCACCGTTCTAGGTGACTTTGAGATGTTGGGACCTTGCAGTTTGGCTTTTGCGGTCTGACTGTGCTTTCCTTTTGTAGGTGGCATCGACACTGAGGCCAGAACTTTATCCCCATCAGAACCCACGGTGACCAGAGATGAACCAGAAAGCCAAGCCCTGACTGGAAAGTTGCCAGCCCCCAAGGTCAAGAAGCCAGGGAGGAAGCCACCAACGCCCGGCCCTGAGAAAGCAGAGACAACCACTGGGGCAGGGTCATGCAATCCCTCACCTAGTTCTGGTGCCAGCACCAGCCCACCAGGTCCCACCCTGAGAGCACGCTTCCGCAACCTGTTAGAAACCGCCTGGCTCAACGGCGTGGCACTGCCTACCTGGGGCCACAAGGCCTCCGGAACGGATCGGCCTTCGTCTCACCCCCAGCTCTTGGACAGCCAGACCCATCATCTGTAGAATTGTTACTAGTGCTGTTGGGACAGCCAATCATCTGGGGACCGCTGTGTACCTGTCCTGACATCTAGCTGCCCAGGGCTAGGATATGAGGCTGGGCCCACCTCACTGGGCAGAGACTTCCTGAACTTTTAACTTGAGGATCTTTGTTAGAAGCGGTTCCTTCCCTTGAGAAAACCTGTGGGCATTAGAGCCAACCCCACCTGGCCTTGAATCCTGACTGCTGTGTCCTGGGCAAACACTTCACCTCTCATGAGCCCTTGTTCCCCATTTGTAGAATAAGACAACACAGCCTACCTCACAAGGGTTGTTGTGGGGATGATGTCTGAAATACAACTACCATGATTTGGTTTGCTTCTTGCCCAGGATAGGCCTGTGACCTCCTCAGTCAGGCTGTGGAATAACAAGACTGAGGATGGCAGAACCTTCTTGTCAAGTCTTCATGTGTCTTGGGACCCAGTTACCTTAGGTACACAGTACAACGTGTATGACTCACAGGCTTCTTCGCCGGGCCGCCGCAGGTGCAGGGACCTGGCCTGGGGCCTGAGGAGCCTAAGTCTGTTCTGGATTCATATCCGTAACCTACCTGGGCTGTATTTCACACCCCTGTAGCGTTGTGTAGAGTTGTATGTGTCAAGCAGCTACAGGGACTGGACCTGACAGGCCATGTGAGCTCAATGCTGGGAGATGTTCCGGACTGGGCACTCTTGGGGTCACCTCCCTGCAGAGCTGAATTCAGCTGGTGGCTGAAAGTTCTTGTCTTATTTAAGGGTTTTGATGAGACTGGGTCCTGGGGAACAGCTATTAAAGCATTTGGGTTGTTTTTGGAGCTGGGGCCTAGCTTTGTGTTTGAGGGTTTGTAGATTAATGTTGTGTATCACCCTTCACCAACTGGCTGTCCTCCCTGCTCCTGTGCAGGATGTCTGTCCTAAAGGCTTCTAGCACTCCACCCCTCAGGCCTGCTCACACCTGCTGGGCAGCCACTCCATCCTGGGAGAGACCTTCCCATGACTATGGAGAATCTTAGAGGCTGGTGGCTTATGTGTCACCACATCTGTGTGCCTGTCTCCTAGGACTGAGGACGTTGTCCATTAGGGTCTGGAACTATCACCCCTCCCTTTGTGTCCCATCAGCTTCACCACAGGCACCAAGATTCCCCACCATGCCCCCTTTCCTGAACCTTCCACCTGTTCTGGAACCAGTCCGTCAGAGCTTACCAGGGCTGGATGTAGTTAGCGCCTGTGCCCAGCTACCCTTGCTGCAGGGGTTAGCCTGGCCCTGAGCCTGGAGTTAATGTGGCAGCTGTCATTGTCCTCATACAGGCCCAAGAAGTTCAGTTTTGGGAGAATCCGTTTTCTGTAACTAGTGACACCATAGGCAGACGGTCTAATGAAGGTTCTTTGGGTTCCTGGGTTTTGATTTTGCTTTTAGATGCGGTCTCACCCAGTGGGCCTAAAAATTGAGGTGTGTGTGTGTGTGTGTGTGTAAGACAGATGAGGAGAGGGAGGCCACACTGAATTTTGGATAGTGGTTCAAGACATCTGGTGATGGCTTTCCTGTTGGCAGAATTCTGACGTAGATTAGCGTACCACATGGCAAGAGAGCTCATGCGTGTGTCATCTGGGCGGCTTGTATGGCTGTCAGCATTGGATCCTCTGGCTTCACCTGATTTTAATCTTAAAACACCTCAAACACACCACCTCCAAGCACAATAGCTGGATTAACTTCCCATCCCCTCACCTCGCAATGGGGGTCAAATTTCAACACATGAACCCTGGGGGTGGGTCATGTTGAAACTACATCTAGATCCAGTACCTGGCCTTGGAAATGGGTAGGGATAGGAACTGTGTCACACTGCCATTGTAAGACTAACCATGAGAGTGGTGTCAGTCGTCCTCTGCCCCACTCTCACTCCCCTTCCCTTGTTAGATGACAGTCACTTCAGGGTGGCATGTCTCCACCCAGGGCCAGAGAGACCTGAGTCCTGGACTTTCCACCAGTTTACAAGTCCTTCACTTTAAACTCACAGGCTCCCGATTTTGAGTCCATCCCTAGTGCCTCGGGGGCATGGCTAGACCCACACATCACCTAACTAATGCCAGGAGCAGGCTCAGGGCCATGAGGCTCCAGTGGGGGAAACCTGGCATTAACACTCAAGACGAGCCTTAAGGCCCCAGCAGCCCGTTCTGCTGAGGAGCAGAATCTGCAGGGTGAGTGGAGGAACAGCTCCTCCCCAGTCTAGGGGGGAAGAGGAGAGAGGATGGAGATGAAGGCTTTTATCTTTTTGGTAGCCTACCTCTCCTGGTTTGCTAAGGGGGTTGAGCTGAACCAACTCTCAGCCCCTCAAAAGCAGCTGGGAGCATGGCCTGAGTGTCTCTTATTTACACTGCTGGAAATGGATGGGTGCTTTTAGCCCCCACCTGTCACCTCACCTGAGGTAGACTATTAGGGGTGTTCAGCCAGCAAATACTAGCTTGCCTTTTTTTTTTTTTTTTTTTTTTTTTTTTTTTTTTTTTTGCCAGCTGCTGTTTTACATGTTCTCCGGGCCTCCTCTCTGGCTGCCACCTCCAGACACTGACAGTATAGCCTTTTCAGGTACTCCTTGTTTATTCAGCAGGAGGAACTGTAGAGCCAACCATTTCTGGCTGGCCAGGATGTCTGGGTTAGGCTGAGGTTGGCAGGCAGGTGGGGCGCCTTGAGTAGTCTGGACATAAATCCTTGGGCAAAGATGTGGTGACCTTAGGATGCTCTAGCCAAGCCAAGCTCTTGGGCCTGAGCTATGTAGTGGGAGTGACTCCCAGGGGCCCCAGGCAGAGGAACACGGTACTGAAGGATTGACATCCATAATGTCTGCCGTTTCCAGTCTGGTATCCTCTAACCAAACCCCTTCAGGGTCATGGAAACTTTCTAAGAAGACTCAGCCCAGGGATTTGAGTGCCTGTCACTTATGGATCTAAATAGGGAAGCAGCAATGCATTCAGGGAACCCTAGGGCCGGCCTCTTCATACTCCCAGGAAGAGGGAGGCCACTCTCTTAGGAATCTGACCAGGAAATGGACACAAAGAGGCAGGTCTGGGTGCTCCGTTGGTTTCTTCTCTCAAGGCGCGTTTCAGCTGGCTAGCAGGTCAAAGTGTCTGTGATGGGTGGGTGGTCTCCCCTCTCACTGGGTCACTCCTAACCCCAGAGGGTGTCCAGTTCCAGTCCTGTCCCGGAGCCCTTGATATCTTCAAGCTGAAGACCGTGTCTGGCAGAACGGACAATATGGCTTGACTAGAATGTTTCCCCCACCCCACTCTCATGGTCTGGCTGCTGGTTCCCTTCCCTCACCGGGTCTCCCAGCTCTTTTGCAGTTTGGGGAATCTTGGGGCTGTTAAGTCAGCCTTAGTCTAAGACCTCTGGCCAGACCAGCTAACCATGGAACCTGAGTGGCTGAATTCCAGCGTGCAGTCTTACTCTCTGGACTGGTGCTAAGCCTTCTTGAGTCAGGCTTCTGAGCTGCCCTTCTCTGCCTCCTCTCTTCCCACTGGTGTTAATTAGGTAAGGTAATATCTAGAGCTGAAAGCAAATTCTCCTGCCAACTTCGTCTCTCACCCTTGTACACAGTGGAAGGCCCAGAGCCAAGCATCTTTGAAAGGCCACCACCTCCTTCAGAGGCCACCACCTTCAGCCCCACAGGACCAGTCCTGCCCCTTGATGTCATGGCCGAGACTCTGACTCCCTCCAAGAATAAAAGCTTGTAGGTTGTAGTTCTCTCTGCTCTGTTCTCTGGGGCAGTATGAAGTCACTACGGTCTGTCTTGAATGGACCCCCACAATGATGGCTCAATGTACATGAACATTCTGGACACTCGCCCTGCCTCTAGCTCTGTGCTCTGTGTATACATACTGGCTATTGGTCTCTCATCTTCCTAAGTGTGGTACCCATACATAGGTAGGTTATGGTAGTAGGGCCTGCATCATGTTCCACAAGACCTGACTCCAAAATTTTATCCTGGCCCACCTGTGCAAGCTGCAGGGAGCCTGTGGGCTTAGCTTTATATGTGAAGGAAACCACTGTTCGCTGAGGGAATGTGAAGCCCCAGCCAAGGACTGGCTTTGGAACCATGGACACGGGAGGGAATATTTGCCCAGTTTTATGCAGTGTGGAGGTAGGGTGAAGCAGGAGTATGAGGAAAGTAAGCCCAGGCTTGCCCACTCTGCTCTGGCCTGCAGCTTTATTCCTCTGGGTTGAGGTACTGTCTGGAAGCCCTGGGTGAGGTGAGGTGACCTAGGAGATGTATGGGGGAGGAGCAGCACGAAGGGCCACCTGGAGGTATAGAAAAGGGACAGAAGCTATATGTCAATAATACTGAAACAAAACATGTCTGTAATCCTATATCTCAGAGGCTTAGGCAGGAGGACCACTGCAAATCTGAGGCCAGCTTGGACCATGCAGTGAGTTAAAGGCCAGTCAGGGGTACATGGCGAGAAATTGTCACTCACGAATAATTGCTGGCTAGTGCTGCCCTCCCCCATCTGCCTGACCATGGGTTAAGATGGAGGCCAAGCAGGAGAAAAGGAGTTCACATCATCTGGGGCCCTTCTAAGGGCCTAGAGTGGTCACTGACAGCATCCCTCCATGGCAGGGAAGTAAGACCTGCACATATCCATTTTCTGTCCCAGTTCTTCCCTTATGACCAACGTTCTGCTTTTGTGATCATAGCCCATGCCACATGGCTTCCAGGAAGCGTCAGCCTGACTACCCCTTGGCTTCTGCCCGAGGCAAGATGGATCCCTGTAATACGGACCCCACAACCCAGCACCGTGGCAGAAACTCAGGAAGAGGTTTGAAAGATCACTCAGAGACCCCCATACATCATTTCCTCAGGGCAGCCAGGGTGATGAGCTTCTGCTTGCCTGGCAGAGGAAGGGCCTCTGTACTGAGTGGGGTACAGGCACTGAAGTGGTGGGGCTTTGGTAGCTGAACTATGGAGATGCAGTCATGGGGTTCAACCCAAGGCCCTGGTGGAAGGCATGCTGTTCTGGCTGGCCTGTGCTGGGAGCTCAGGTTCGCATGCACAACAGGCTACTGTCCCTTTGTTTGAGTTAAGATCTCAAAAGCTCAGCCAGTTTCTTAGTAAGAAGCTCTTGTCAGGCCAGACTCACCAAGATGAAGAGAGACATGATGAGCTGGAGATTCAGCATGGCTCCACCCCTGGGGCTTCTCGAGGCTCTGGAGCTGGGGGCGCCTGGAGCAAAATGGGTGGCTGAGAGGATTTTCCATCCTCAAAGCCCTCAGAGACTTCTAATTGTGGTGGCTGTTCCCAGGACACTTGGAGCCTGTGTCCCCTGGGGCTCATAGGAAAGATAAGAGTAGATTTGGCCGCACAGCGCTGTGTGGAGGAGGAGAAGGTCAGGGAGGCAGAGGGATGGAAGACATGAACAGGACAGGCACTGACCAAGGACTGGGAGGAGCATCTCCAACTGTAGACCCTCAGTTTCCTGGAGGGAGGCCAGGGCTTGAAGCATGGAGTCCTGGATGATGCCCTGGGCTGGTGCAACCCCAAAGAAGGCAGTTTGCACTCTGGCAGTCAGTGGTTCCTGGCTGAGAGGACCATCACAGGCTTCAGGGGGGTGGAGAGATACAGAGAGACCCTCTCATCCAGCCCCAGGACCCACCCTCTGAACTGAACACTCACTGGAATTCCTCCACCACCACTTGACCAAAGTTCTGCAGAGGCTGGAGGACTGAGGTTAGCTGGGGTCGGGAGACAAGGAGTGTAACAGCTTTCCACAGTCTAGCCCAGCCACACCCCCTTCCTCATTCCCTCCATCCCCCTCACATCACCCGTTTTGTCAGCAGTCCCTGAAGCTCCTGGAACTCAGAACTAGTCTTGTTCTCCAAGGCCTCGGTGAAGGGGTGACCCACAATCAACAGCCACGTGTCATAAAACACCAGATCTGCTTTCTCCCCTAAATCAACGGGGGTGGGTACGGCTATATTAGCCAGGGCTCCTGTCTTCTGAGAGCTCCTGGATAGGACCACGCCCTGGCCCAGGGTTGCTTGCCCAACCCCCACTGCCCTCATCCAGTGGTCTGAGGGCCTGCCTTTGCTGCCTGCTCTTATTAGACTAATGAGCTAAGAATGACTTCTGTTTTTAAGTGGATGAAAACTGTCAGCAGTAGGAAATTGTACGGCATGAAAAGTATATGATTACACAATTTCCGTGTTTGAATATGAAATTGTACTGGAACAGAGCCAGCTCACTTGCTGTGACATACCTCTGTTCTGGCTGTGTTCTCCCTATAAGGGAGGAGCTGGGAGCCACAAAGGGCAAAGATTAATTCTCTGACCCTTTGTGGTAATCTACCAACCCACGCTCTAGTGTGTCTACTGGAAGGGTGATGGCCTGTTCACGTGACAATAGGACACCTCGTGTTCCTTACTGTCCCCTGGTCTCCCAGAAGGGGCCCCATGATGAAACTCAAGCCCCTGCTTGAGTTTCGCTGTCTGTTAAGGGGATGGCGAGGTTTTTTAGGTTGAACGCTGAGTGGCCAGACACACCGTATGTTGAAAACTAGCTCTGAGAGAGTCAGGGCAGGGACCCAAACCAAAGCCCCATCGCTGGGAGCTACAGAGCAGAGCCCACCAGATGGAAACACTCAACATGAGAGGCTGCACAGGGGAGGTGGCTGAGACAGGCGCTTAGCGGTGAATTAGCACTTCCTAGGCTGAGGGTCTAAAGCTGAACAGCTCCAGGTTGTGGCTGCTGGAGCCTGAGAGGCCTTGGATTTCTCCAATGTGGCTGGATAAGCCTGCTTGACTCTTCCTCTCAGGGGGCCTCACGGGGAAGTTGGAATTCTGACCTTGGTGTCAGAGCTGACCACTGTGTCTCCTCTCAGGACAGAGGATTAAGGTGAGGATTGAAAGTTGACTAGATAACTCTATTCTGAGCCTAGGTTTCCCATAGACCTCTGGACTCACTTTTTCCCCATTGGCTGACACACACGCTTTGCTATTGAGGGTTCTGTCCTTTCTCAGAGGGGACAGTGAGACCTAGAGGAATGACCCAGAGCGGTACATGGGGCCCAAGCTCACTTACCATTGGCCAGTATGCTGGATTTCTGGAGGGTGGGGTCTGTTATATGATGGGCCAGGTGACTGGCCAGGCCTTGGAGGTGGATGGGGATGGGGTGCTTGAGCTTATATTCCATGTAAACTCTCACCCACTCCTTCACATCGCTAGGGTAGGATGGGAGAGGGCAGAGTCATGATATCTTTGCCAGTACATGCTTCTAGAAGCAAGTTTTGGGCTCCTACGTGTGCACCCAATGTTCTTTCCTCAGAGCTCTGTGAGGCTGTCTCGACAACTGGCTTAGACAGAGTTCTTACTGGTGTTCTCCAACCTATACCTGACCCTCCTGGCTTTGGGTCAGGGGTGGAATCACCCTAGAGACATGTCTCCAAGACAGTAGTCATGTAGGCTCGGTAAGTGGGAGTGGGAGTGGGCCGGCCTGGGAGCCTGGACAAACCACTGGGATTCTCAACCCACCTGAATAGGAGCAGGGGCTGGTCCTGGGGCTCAGCCTTGTAGAATCTTGACACTTCATGGGTGACCTGTAGGATGTCCTGGAGGTCAGGCTGGCTGGGAGCTGCCTGACCTAAGGCCCAGTATGGGGTGGGCCAGGCTTTAGACAAGGTAAGGTAGGACCTGAGAACCTTCTCCAGTGTGGTCTCCTAGGCAGGGATCGCTGGTGACAGCTTTGTCAGTGACTTCCCTCAGAGCTTTCTCTTCCCTCAGCCAGCTTTACCCTCAGGGCATGGCTGGGTTCCCTCCATGCTTGCCTTCCCACAGGCCTAGCTGGTGCAGCTCTCCCTGGGCATCACTGTACCAATCGCTAAAAGCTATAGAAGCCTGTTGACAAGGGAGGCAGGGAGAACAACCCAGTCCCAGCAGCAGGGGAGGGGACACCTCACCAGCCGGAGGATCTGCTTTTCCAGCAGGATAAAAGGCTGAGAACTAGGCAGGAGCAGCTCGGGCAGGAAGGGCCTCATGAGTGTGAAGCTAACGTTGATGATTTCCCGGGTAAGGTCATTCATGTTGTACCCTGCAGAGACACACACAGCAGTCTGGTAAGTTGGGACAGCCTCCCTCTCTCACCATGGCCTACTCAGGGCTTGGGCAGATTGAAGTGACTCCTCCATGGAGCCCAGCCAGCATCCTCCGTGGGCAGGCGAGGAGGCAAGGGACAGGTGTTTCTCTAGACTCACCATCAGAGGAAAGGCCATGGTCGGCCAGGGACAGGTACCCAAGCGACCATCTGGAGGACTTCACCTTGCGATACAAAGTCCAGAGGATTTCTAGAGCCGAGGGAGCCGGAGGACCAAAAACGAGGGAGGCTTTCACCTTTGTAGAGCCAGGCCTACAGGAAGCAACCAGTGGGGACAAGATAGGCCTGGCTGGTGCAGGAGGTGGTGTGTGGAAAGGAGCCCACCCAGGCATCTACCAGCAGAAGAGAACATGATCTCTGAGGTGCCAGACCTCCTTGGTAAATGGGGATAAAAGTCAGTTTCCGAGGAGGCTGTTGGAGGCCTGAAGGATGCAGGTGGGAGTGCACACAGCAGGGGCTTGGTTAAAGTTCCCTTGCACTCCTAAATGAGCTGGTTCTCATGGGGATACTGGAGATCTCATCCAGGGAAAGACTAGGGTTAGGTGTTACTCAGAGGACAAGGCTGGCTGGGAGCTCTCAGGAGGTCTAGTGGACACTGAAAAGTAGCCTTAGCTGCAGTTAAAGCGGTAAGGGACTCTGGAGAGAGGGAAGTTTCTGAAAGCCCGGAGGGCACGGGCCAATTGCTTGTGTCTTGCAGGAGGCAGCCTTCAGGCAGCTCTCAGGGAAAGATCTAGAAATGAGCAACCTCAGAACCTAAAACAACACCTGCCCTTGCCTGAGATCACCTGTGCTACCTCAGGGCTTGGGAGATAAGATGGGCCCAGGGTCAGGGCATGGCGTCACTGAAGCAGACTTCAGGTTATTAAAAGGGAAAAGTTTTGCAGCAGCTGGGACCATGGCCTGGATAACCCCCATCTCTGGAGGCAGTCCACGTTCCTAGCAGCCCAGAATGAGAGTCGCACCCAAGGATTTACATTTATTTACATATCATTTACGTGACCCTGTCCCCAGGATAAGTAGCTTGGCCCGCTCTTTGCCTGTCTTTTTTTCACTGTACTCAGACAATTCCGTCCAAACCCAACAGCTGGAATTAGGAAATGGAAGGAAGGCAAGCTGAGGTCATGGAGCACAGATGGTAACGGAACCAAATATGGACCTCTTATTAACCCTTCTAGGCTAAAGTACTCCTGGCTGGGCAGCCTGAGCTCAGGGACACCCCCCACCCCCCATCAAGGCACGGGTCAGTTGAGAACCACACACACTCACCGAAACAGCAGGGCACTGACATTCTTGAAGTTGGAGAAGGCCTCGTGGTAGATGAGCCGGAGCTGAGGCAGGGACGTGGGAGTCAGTGTGTGCACCCCTCCATCTGTCCTGGCCTCTGCAGAGGCCTCATCCCTGATCCTGGTTCAGCTGGGTCTTTCCCAGGCTGTTTCCCTCTAGTAGCCTGGGTTTGTGATTTCTTTTTATGGAAATTCTCACTGAGATCTGTCTGTCCCAGGTCTGCACATATGCAGGATTTACCTCTGTAGTCCAGTCACCCTGGGCTCTGCATCCTAACTAACAGCTGCCAGCCTGGGCTGCCTCTCCCATCCTCATTTGCCATAGAATCCTTTGTCAGCCCCTTCCTGCAAATTTCACTCCCCCAAACCATGTTCCTCCTGCCCAGGTGCCTGGGAAGCCCTTCGTTGTTGGATTTGGCTTCCTTCTGTCCACGCCAGTTAAAACTCTCCCCACTGCCAGGTTTGGTGGTGCATGTCTTTGATCCCTATGCTTAGGGAGCTGAGGCAGGTCCACTGTCAGCCTGAGCAACATGGTGGGAACCTACTTAAGTGAGAAAAAAAAAATCCCAAACCCAAACCAAAAAAACCCACAACCAGGCCAGATGTGGTGCAGATGTGGTGACTCAGCCTTACAGCCCTTTGGAGAGGAATACCCAAGGACCAATTCAAGGCCAAATTTGGCTACTTAAAAACTCAAGAAGAGGGGCTGGAGAGATGGTTCAGTGGTTAAGAGCACTGGCTGCTCTTCCAGAGGTCCTGAGTTCAATTCCCAGCAACCACATGGTGGCTCACAACCATCTGTAATGGGATCTGATGCCCTCTTCTGGCACAACGGTCTACATGTAGATAGAACACTCATACATAAAATTAATAAGATTAAAAACAAATACAAAGCCGGGCGGTGGTGGCGCACGCCTTTAATCTCAGCACTTGGGAGGCAGAGGCAGGCAGATTTCTGAGTTCGAGGCCAGCCTGGTCTACAGAGTGAGTTCCAGGACAGTCAGGGTTATACAGAGAAACTCTGTCTCGAAAAACCAAAAACAACAACAACAAAACAAATACAAAAAGGGCTGGGCATGTCACTTGGGAGGCAGAGGTAGGTGGGTTTCTAAGAGTTTCAGGCAAGCCTGGTCTACACAGTTCATTCTAGGCCACAGTTGTCCTAAAGTAAAACCAAACAAACAGAAAAAAGAGGATGTTCCATCGGTATGGTATAGAGTGGTCACTTAGTGTACGCAAGTAGGTGGCTAGCCTGCAGCCTTCCTTCTCACAGTCTGTCAGAACTAGGAGCAGTCCTTTGGTCCCTATTGTCTCCTGAGGTGAATCATTCAACAAACAGAACCCTGCACAGCAGGTGAGAAACGGCAGTTCCTGGTCAGGATGCCTTCCCTGCTCCTGGTTCAAGGATGGAGCTGTGCTTCACTTAGCCAGGGGATCAGGGTGTGGTCCCAGATGAGCTTGTGTGCTGATAAAAAGCCAGCAGTCACACAGCGAGAACCTGCTCTATTTCTGGTAGGCGAGTTTTCCCCTCACTGTGAGATTTTTTTCCCCCTCTGTAATGACTTCAAAGAAGTATTTCTGCTTAGCCTCTCCTCCGACTCCTCTCAGGAGCACAGCATGGCATTCATTAGATTTTCCTATCTTGTGTCTAACTGCTGTTGGGAGCCACAGCCTATATAGTATGTGTTATGGCTGTGCCTGGCCACTCAGAAGGAAAGCAGAGCAGGAAAGATATCCTCATCTACATTCCTCTACCCAGTGAGCAGGTGCCACACCTGGTAGCAGATAAGCCATCGATCCAAGGGTACCAGGTTCCAGACAAGTTTTGTGAAGCGGTTTCGGTTGATCCTAAAGGTCACAGTATGGATCGTATGACGAGATCCTGGAGTGGAGAATCTCAAGTCCTGCAAAGACTCATCCTGGCCAGGGTAAGGGAGGGGAGAGGCCAGGGTAGGATCAGCATCTACAGATGACTCTGTGAAGCCAGAGCTATGTGGGGTAGAGGGAGGGCTGGAGAAATATTGGAGGGAGAGCGTGGGGATGTGGACTGGGCTGGTAGGAAGCCATGGCTCAGGGTGGCTGGGTTGTAGAGCCAACTGGGGTGTGAGGTTTGAAGTTTTAATGGAAGAGTCTGTAGTTGAGGGTACAATCACAGATGCAGGTTTAGAAGAGTCACTAGCTCCTGTAGTGACAGAGGAAACCTGGACCGGGATTGAGGTCCCTAATCTTCCAGGAGATGAAGACAATGGGGGCTCTGTAGCTTTCAGTATGTTAGACATCCGGGGGAAGATAGGCAGTCTTAAGGAGGTACTTGGAGCCAGTACTACAGATGAGGATGCATCTGGCCTGGAGTGGCCATCCCTCCGTGGTATCCGGACAGTGGGATTGGGGTTATGCCGTAGCAGGCATGGAGGTCTGGAGAATATGGGGGGATGGGAAGTTTTACTTAAATGCCCTGTTTGTTTAGATACAACAGTTTTCTCCAGTGTTGCAGAGGCAGGAACTGTCCCACACAACCCGAAGGTCTTGTTGAACTTCTGCTCAGATCCATGTATGGGAGAAGGCTGTGGTGATGACATAGTAATTGTGTCTAGAGTTCCAAGGGCCAAGATTTCCTCTATAGGATCAGCCTCAGAGGACACTGGCTGAGAGTCAACAGCCATGTAGGATGCAGATATGGTTAGGGTTGAGGGAATTGGTTCAGGTATGACCCTGCCCGAGGAGTCAGGCAATGGGGGAGACTCCTGACTCCCAGCCCCTTCTGTAGAAAAGTCTCCTGCCCTCCTCCCCAGGGCCTCCGATTCCCTCTCAACTGAGTTGATTTTGCCAAAGATGTGTGTCAGGATGCCCAGTAGAATGCTGTTGTTACTTTGCTGAGGTGATGTACCAGGCGCTGAAGGAAACTGCTTAGGGCCTTCATCAGTAGAGAGAAGGGTCAGGGTAGAAGCCGAGACTACTAGGAAGGCTGCAAAAGAAAAAAGACCTGGCTTTTCACTGTCTGGTGGGCAGGACTGGCCCCCAGCCTCTCAGATCTCACCCTGGTACATCTTGCTCACTTAGGTACTGGAAAGTAATACCTGATTAGACCCCCCAACCACCGAGCTACTTATTCAAGCCATCTCCCCTCCCTGATTCTAGCCCGGCTGACACTGGTCAAGCCATCTCCCCTCCCTGATGCTAGCCCGGCTGACACTGGGATGCCCTTACCCAGGAATAGGCACTGGAAGGACAAAGGAAAATGCCTTTAGGGTTTGTCTATCTATCTCCATACTGATGACCCCTATGTCAGGGACCCCCCTCCTACCCCCAAAGAGAAGTCTCAGAGGCTCAGTGGTTGCTAGGAGTCGAGAATCTTGTCTACTCTATTCAAACCACCTCGGAGGCTCAGACTAACTTGATGGAGCTGGAAGTGCTATCTGCTTCTCCATTGTGGGTAAGATTGTGACCTGACCATGTTCTGGGCATACAGGGTTCGTCTTAGGGGCTGACTGAGAGGTGGAACATGTATGTAGGGTCATCTCTGAAGGCTCTGAGGTTAATGTCGAGCCTACCTGCAGCTGTACAGAGCTCCAAGCAGGTGATCCTGAGTGCTCTCAAGAAGCCCGAGCTCCTCAATCTTTCCCTAGCATCTCTAAGGCTGGCCAAGGTTGGAAAACCATGGAGACAATGAAGTTGCCGTTACGGAGTTCCCTGAGGAGAGGATTCCACCCTTCCATACAAGTAAGCTGGTGGTGATGGGGAGACAACACCTCAGCTCACCTTCCCCATCCGTACTCACCAGCCAAGAGAATTCCAGCTGCAGGAAACCACTGCTTGTCCATACTGCAGGCTCCTGGCAAGACGTCTAAGGATGCAGCCTCAGGCGACAGATACAGTGATGCCCTTTGCAAGTCCCCTTCGGGAAGGGCGTCATCAGGCTTAGGTAGAATTCAGTGTGGAGCCTTCGCCTAAGTTGCCAGAGGCCCTGAGTTCCACCCCATTACCCAGCCATCCACTGCCGGTAGCTGTCCAGAGTTCCGCCTCCATAGCAAGGTGCCCTGAAGCTGCCCTAGTCATCAAGTGGCCTCCTGAAACTTGTCTTGTGGGGCTGAAGACTTCAAATAGGAACACACGTACCTTTCCCACAGCCTGGAGTTTATTATGGTTAAACAAATTTGTTTTGAGAAATAGTTAAAAAAGTCCTTGGGCACAGAGGAAGCCCTGGGTGAGTTAAGACCTGAGGGGGATGTGCTGTTGACATTGGTGTGGCCGTGTGAAGGATGCCAATGCCTCAGCCCTGGGAAATGGCAAAACCTTCCCTGGGCTAGGCTCCCCTACAGACTGCTTCTAGTGGGATTTGTTAAACCTTTGTCCTCTGTATATAATAACTTGTGGGGAACCAAACCCAGGAAATTGCCTGCTGTTCTGGGAAACCTAGTCTCAGGTCCCACGGGGCAATTGTCTTGATTAACAATTGGTGTGGGTGGTGCCACCCCTGACCAGGTGGTCGTGGGGTGTTTAAGAAAGCAGGCTGATCAAACCAGGGAGAACAAGCCTTCGCATAGCCCTCCTCCACAGCCTCTACCTCTGTTCGTGCCTCCGTGTTCCTACCCTGATTTTGCCTTCGTTTTGCCTGATGGAATAGAACCCAGAAGCTCAATAAGCCCTTTCCTCCCTAAATTGTTTTTGGTCATAGTCTTTACCACAGCAATAGAAATCTAAGGATTACCCACCCACACTGCAGGAGACTAGCCTACACAGCCCAGAACCTCTTAGCACCCCTGGCTCAGGGATAAACAGGGAACAGGCTCATGTCTCAGCCCTCTAACTCTTACTGGGAAACCTAGAGGTTTGCAGCCTTTCCCCCTAAGGAGTCATGGCCTTCACTGGACCAGCAGTCCTATACCAGGGCTCAATATTGTTCTTTGTCAGCAAGGCTTGATGGGGAGAAAAATAACTAGAACCCCAAAGGAGAGAATCCTTCAAAGCAACTGGACCTGGGACATCCCAGCCAGGATCCTACCAACCCCAACACCTTCTTCTTGGGCATACCCTTTCCCACCTGGAGGTGTTTGTCTGTCTTCTCATTTATCAATTTAGCTCAACTGACTCAAGACTCTGGAATGTTCCACTCTGGTGCTACCTTCTATATCGTAAGCCCTTTCGCTTTTTCTTGTTTTTTTAAACCTTGAGACACGGTCTCACTAAGTAGCTTGGGTTGGCCTTGAATCGCTCTAAGCCTAGACAGTTCTTGACTTTGCAAGCTTCCTGCTTCAGCCTCCCTCTTGGATTAGAGCCATGGACCAATAAGCACAGCTGCTCGAAATACTTTCTAAGAAGGAAAGCTATTGTTTCTGACACAGTTCTACCCCAGATCACAGATCCACAATCCTACAGGCCTTCCCACTCAGCCCACTCGCTTGGCTTTTTTGCTGTCTGTAGCCCTGTACTCTGCTGGACCCAGGAAGCTGCTGCCTCTTCCTTGCTCTCCTCGGAGAGCCATTTTACTACCTGGCTGGGAGACGCTAGGGGAGAGATGTCTCCCAGGAAGAGAAGAGAGCTTTGGCTTCTGACAACTCCTACCTGCAATCCTGAATTCACTATCCCTCTTCTCCCTAAAGCTGCCCTTCCCAGTCCTCCTGACCTGGGACTAAGCCTCTACATCCCTGTTCCTTAATTCTTCCCTCATTGTGTCCCCTGGATGCCCAGGTCTTCCCTGGTGTCCCTGGTGCTGCCAAGAAGCCTCTGCCCTCTAAGAGGAGGGTGGAGATTGGCTCGAACACTTAGTGCCGCTCTTGCCAGGTGGGCAGGGCTACTGCTTTCCCAGACAGCCTCAGGCTGAGGAAAATCCTGTTTGTGATGGCTCTATTCTAAAGAGTGAGGCTCATACTGCAGGACCCTGGGTTCCCATCTGCCTCTCTGACACCCTCCAGGCCAGACTGAGCTCAAACTGTCAAGCTGGAGTTTGTTGAGACCACAGTGGGAAAAGCTGTAGCTGCCGAGGGAGCCAGGCATATGACATATACACTTTCAATCCTAGCACTTAGAAGTCAGAGGCAGGGGGATAATCATGAGTTTGAGGGCACCCAGCTTGGTCTACATAGTGAGTCCCTGTCTAAAAATAAATAAAATAAGTAGATAAATAAATAAATAAATAAATAGAGACCAAGCCAGTCTGGATTTGCCTGGTTACGCAGGCTCAGAAGCCTAGGTACTCAGGAGGTTAAGGCAGGAAGATGGTAAATTCAAGGCCTGCCTAGGCAACTTACCAAGATCATGTCTCAAAAGTAAGTAAAACAGAGGCTAGTGTTACCTTGCAAAGACTCTGGGTTCAAGCCCCAGTGGGAAGGGAATGAAATCAGGATTCGGCATGTCTGAAAGCTGAGGGCTAATCTCCAGCCAGAATCAGTGCTCAGACTGTGATAAGTGTCTGGGCTCACTGTGGATGAGGGCTAGGCAAGTTTCGGCCTGCTTGGGGAGTGGGGGGGGGGGGTGTGCTCCTCTTGCTCTCCTTGGCCAGATGCTATCCCACCTGCATCTGGAGAAAGTTAAATGGAATCTGGCCTCACACCAGTGTCACAAAATGTCAACAAAGTAAGGATGAGATTCCTAAGTGCTAGTCTGTCCCAAGGTCCAGCCACAGGGCTTGATAATATTTGTCATGTGGGTCTGAGTCTCTAGTCGGACTCTCTTCTTCTTAAAGCTCCATGGTCCAGACAGCTACACTCCAGCCCTGTCACTCTCTGTCCTTCTCACAGCCAAGTGCTGGGGAGCCCTCTTACCCTGGTAACTAAGTCATGGATTCCCACAGGTTGTATCCTACCTTGTACTCTTTGCAGTAGGTTGCTGTCCACGGTTTTCTTGTGTCCCAGCTCAAAGACAGAATGCATACACACTCGAAGGGTCTTGAGAGGGGTTAGTAGGTATGGTGGAGTCTCATGGGGGTGGGTTCTGAGCCAGGTAGACATTTGCCTAGACACACAGGCAGCTGGACCAGCAGACGGTCAGCTCTGCTTACATATCTTCCAACAGGAACCTTCCTAGTTTCAAGCTGGGCTCCCCTTCCTGGTACCCTCTTCCTGGCTCCCAGCCCACACTCTGTTTGAGGAAGAGTAGCATGGAACCTTTCACTATTCATGAGACCTTAGTCCCTGGATGTACGAGGCTCAACCCAACAAGGACAAGACAAGACTGAAGATTCCTATAAAAACCAGGTAGGAAAGAGTAGGGTGCCTAGGACCCCACCCAGTCTCTTTCCAATTCTACATGTGGCACTAGAGGTCTCAGTACTGGGTCAATCCCAGGCCAGAACCAGCCTGACTCCTCTTATACGCCCTGGCTATGTTCTTGCCACAGAGAGACATACGAGAGAGATATCTAACCACTGTGCTTCCAGGACAGGCAGGAAAAACAGCCAGAATGAGGTCCCTCGGGTAAAGCTGTGAATTGAGTCATTCTCTGTGTACCTGTGTTTGCACGTGCGTGTGCATGAATATACAAAGGAAGTATATACAAATGAGAGAAGTCACAATCCCAGGATTCCCCAATCTTTGATTCCCTGCTGATCTCAAGGTTCAAGCCATGTGGATCCTTCAGGGTCTAGGAAAGGTCTTGGTTGACATTCTTCTAGCTTCTTCTCATCTAGTTCTGGTTCGTCATCCCATCTTCTGAGCTGGCTGTGAGAGCTAGGAGCATTCTGTGAACCCTGCCAGCAGCTAGGTCAAGTGGCTGGCTCTACTGAACCAGGCAGTCTGCCTGGCTATCACCAGGATTTCCTGGCCCATCTTTAGGCTCCTTGGATACTGCTGCTCATCCTGAGGAATAACGATGCCCAGCAGGGGCACCAACCCAAGACTTGTGTCTTATCTCCAAAGGTGTTTCTGCTTCCTCTTCCAGGCTGGCCTCTGGCCTGACAATTTTCCCTTACTGCTTACATGTGCGTGATGGGAGAGGAGAATTAAATCATTAAGCTGGACATGATGGCACATACCCACAGTCCCAGCAACTGGGAGGCAGAGACAGGAGAATCAGGAATTCAGTGACTGCCCCAGCTACAAAGGAATTTCAACCTACCTGAGACCCTATCTCAAAATTAAAGTTTGTTTTTGTTGGGATAGTTCTGTGGTCCAGGCTGGCCTTGAACTCAATCTATTGCTAAGGATAGCCCTGTACTTCCGATCTTCTTATCTCCATCTCCTAAGTTCTGGGATTTCAGGTATGAGGCGTCATACCTAGGTAACTTTCTTATTTTTGAAACATGTTCTTCCTGAGTTGCCTAGGCTGGCCTTGAACTCATTCTGTAACCAAGGCTGGATCTGAACTTTCAGTCTCTCTACTTTACCTTCCCGTGTAGCAGGGATTCCAGGCCAGGCTGGTTGTGCTTGAGAGGGTTTGTTTTGTTTTGAGGCAAGGTCTCATGTATCCAGGATTAACCTCAAATTTGCTGTGTGATGAGAATGACTTCAGTATAGAAGCCCCAACTCGCAAGTACTGGGATTGTGAGCTTGGACTACTGTCCCTGGCCTTGATTTTGAGGTTTGCTAAGAACCTCCTCTCCCCCAAGAAGTCTTTAATAATTTCCTTCTGCTAAACACAGCTGTTCCCGAACAGGTCCTTAGAAACTGCTTGGGCTCAATGTTATCAACGCCTCTTGGGCCTGCATGTGACAATAAACAAGATGGGACCTAGGACCTCTGCCTCTGTTCTATGATCTCCTTTACTTTGGGTCACTTGTCTGCCAGTGAGTGTAGACTGTGCCCTTCCCCCAGCCTTGAGCAGGCCTGAAAGACCGTGTTTACCACAATAGACCAAATAATCGGACCTAGGTGGCCTTACCCATCTT